TGCATTTAGTTGCATTTAGGTGACGAATTTTGTATGGATAAATGTACATTTAGAGTAGCATTTAGAGCTAAATGCGCTAAATGTGCTTTTACGCGTAAGCAAAAACAGCCTATTAGGCTGATTAGTAAAATGCATCGTTAAAAAGTTTAGCTTGTATATTTATCTCTCTAACGCATTAATTCTATATACGTCAAGACCACCGCCCGACGCCGTTATGTCTGTATTTAATAACGGCTCTATGACAAAACATTCAAGAAATGTGTTCGTAGATTTTTATTTACTTCATTTCATACATTAATATTGATCTGATTTTTTTTTATAAGTAACAGGAATAAATATTTAACAAAAAACTATTTCTCTTAAGCTGAACCAACTTTTAGTTGCTCGGAGCTAATTTTGGAACGCTTTATAAAATGTTTTCATAGACGGTAAATGCAACCCTGGTTGCATCATTTATGAGCTGAAAACCCAAAACAAATAATTAAATTTGTGGATTGGAGCCTTTTGAAATGGCCTTTAGAAACGGCAATGGAATTTCGACACTATTCAAGGAATCGCGAATATAAGCTGCCTTCCGTTTGGCATATTTGCGGTTTAAACCTTCAGAAAGTTACATAAAAAAACATTTTCTATTTTTATTTATTATATATTTTTGAAATAAAAATACTCCACCTTGTAAATTTCTTGAAACCATCTTGCGCAGCAGTTTGTTGATCTTATCTTCACGATTACCGAAATCACCAACCTCAACGTTGTGATTAGCCCTCTTGCGCCAGCCGGCGGTTGGTGTTGAGCTTGAATAGCCAGAGGAAGTTGGAGGCTTTCTTGAAGTGGGATCCAACCGTGAATATTTCGTGCGCCAAATAATCAACGCACTGAATATCGTGGGCTTTGCGCAATTTGCGTTCGCTCACAAAGTTGTCAGAGATTGAGACACGTTGATGGTTGTGCTTGACAATTCCATGTTTGCAGAACAATTCACGAACTGATTTAAGATTTGGATAACCCCATGGAACCCCCATAGAGTTCGGCAATGCGTAGCATATTAATGGTTATATTTGATGAACAAACCGTGGTTAATGTGGCGAAAACGGAACAACAGTAAAACTTTACGCACTTTTGGTGCAACTTTGTTGATACCGCGGTACAGATCACAAAAGCCAATTTGTCTTCTGCAGGCACGTAGAATGGGCCGCGTTTCTTTGCCAGACGGCGCAACGTATTCTCACGTCGTCCATCACGGAGATATTTTGCTTGATATTTCTCAGCATGCACCAAGTTTTCACAGCAGAGCGCTTTAATTTACGCTTTATCAGGGTAGCACGTTTGCTGACCTGCTTCTTGCTGAACTTCAGCTACGACTCTGGGACAGCAGGCAGCTTCCTGGAAGGTTGTTTGCCCTTTGCTTCGGGCTTCTTACCGGCCGTGGTGGTAAACGTGGTGATGAAAAAAATTTCGCCAAATGTTTGGAGCACATCTTAAATAACGCCACTGGATTTATAACATTTCTATTAAGCACAATTTCATTTAATTAAATACTTTTTTAATACATAAGATATGCTGCAACCAGGCACTTACTTTCCCTAATTCCATCTTGCTTATCGGCATAATTTTCCAAATGTGCCTGCGCTGCTACTTCATACTAATAACTTCATTTTCAAACTGCGCCTCAACATATCCTAAAAATACATAAAATTTACATTAAACAATAGAAGTCGCAAAAATTAGCAAATAAAATATTCTCTTCGTTTTGTTTTGTTGTCAAATTTCTGAGAAATGTGAATTCACCACGATGCAATACAGAAAGAACAAGGACCAGGGATGTAATTTTAAGTAAACCTAATATTCAGTGGCAATGCGCAGAGCGTTCCGGGTAGCAAACTTAATTTGTATCAAATATAACATTAAACGGTGGTTATAATACACTTTTTAATATTATTAATCAGAGTACATACATTATGTGGTATTTCTTTCAAAAATTAATGGGAAGTGTTTAGTAGCGCTTACATCGTTTTTGGGGTGGGGGGCGGAGAGGGAGGGTTTGCGGGCCACCAAACTCCCCCACTAGAAAGGGGACAGTCCCCGCTTTCTAAAAAGGCGTCCTCCCACAGGCCCCTAGGGAACCGTTTGAAAAAGAAGGGAAAACGGAATTTTCTTAGTCAAACTGAGCAGTTAGAAGTGGAATATGACCCAACTAACAGAACCCGTGGGATTTTTTAATAAAAGAAATTATGCCAAATGAGATATCGGGCGATTTTGAATAAAGAATAAAAAAGTTAATTAAAAATAGAAAAAACAAATAAAAAAAAATGTTCTTTTTGACAAATGTATTTTTGCGTAGAATTCCTTTCTGCGTAGGCGGTCTTCGGCCGCACTTAGGGATTATAACCCTCAGGCAGTAGAATTCTCCTTTCTGTGTTGCCAAAGAAGGGGGGCTGAACACCTTTTGCACAGAACACCTTTCTGCGTAGGCGGCCTTCGGCCGCACTTAAGGATTATAACCCTCAGGCAGTAGAATTCTCCTTTCTGTGTTGCCAAAGAAGGGGGGCTGAACACCTTTTGCAGAGAAAATCTTTCTGCGTAGGCGGCCTTCGGCCGCACTTAGGGATTATAACTCTCAGGCAGTAGAACTCCTTTCTGTTTTGCGAAGAAAAGGAGCTGAACACCTTTTCAGAGAACATCTTTGTATATTTTTAATGCTTACTGGGTTATATCCTATCTTCTTTTGTCTCTCATTCTTTTGAATATTTTGGAGTTTGACAACTGAACTCCGCCATTTAATTTGCATATGCAACCAAAGTCAGACGCGTGATTTTGAAGGTGTTTTTATTTAATGAATTGTGATTAATTGGTTAATATTAAAGTCGTAAAGCAAGTTATAACTAATCGAGTAAAGTGTAAAGTGAAGGGGAATACAAAAATGTATTGGTGAAGTGGTTGCTTTAAGGAGGTAGGAGTGATAAATGTACGCTAATTTCCGAATTTTACAAAAAAGGGCATATTTCAAACCCAATTTGTAAATAAATTAGTGACCAAAATTTACAAAAGTGAGTGTTAAAATAATGCATAGACCCTTGACTACAAGTGTGCGGAATTTTTTTGGATTGGGCCACCCCTTTGGACGGAATAGCCGGAAATATTTGAGATCGCTACTAAATCCCACTCAAATTAATGCACTATATGCATATTTTTTTAATGTTTCTTAAGTTTCTTTCATTGGTGCTGAAAAGCAACCATGCGTGTAAGAAATTGTGTGCTACCTAAAATTTCACCTCTGGAAACTTTATCCCCATAAAGGGTTTCACCACAGTTTTTTACTGGATATACTGAGGCGACGCGTGTTCTCTTTCAAAACTAACTCTTTCAGTCCTGTCAGGGTTGCTTCGTTGTGTCCGTCAGAGTTGCATAGTTTAGTACGTCTTACCCGACCGGGTTGCTATTTTCTGTACTGATCCCACATATATAAATGTGAATGTCTGTTTGATTATTACCTTAAAACTTTCGAACCCCGGAAAGGTTATAGGTATGGTTTTATTTGCATATATGGTGTTAATTTTGCAATGGGGCGTGGCACCTCCCATAGGCCTGCAAATTTTTAATCAGCTATAACTTCGGAACCATAAGTCACATGAACTTGAAATTTGGTATGCAGACATATCTATGGTAGGTGTTTATATATACATGACTTTGTAGGAGGGGGCGTGGCATATCTCAATTTTTAATAAGCCATAATTTCGGAACCATAAGCCACATAAAATTGAAATTTGGTGCTTATAGTAAAGTATATATATATACATATGAGTTTGTAAATGGGGGTGTGGCACATAATATAGGCGTGGAATTTCTGATCAGCCATAACTTCGGAAAAAAGTCACATGACCCCTTAAGTCCTTTTGATATGCCTTTCGAATTTAAAAGACTTCAGTTTCCAGTTCGCTTAGATTTTGCAATGACAATAAACAATAATGCCTTAAAGTAAAACCCAAAACTTTATCGAAAAAAAAATGTATGATAATTGCATTGGAAAATGCATTCATGTTTATAGATGCTTTTAAGTATTAAAAACATGCTATGAAATAATATAAGAGTTACTATTTGTATGAAATTAGATAGTTATATGTACCAAGGTGTATTTAACAAGGTGGTGTTGGGGTGACAGCTGAGGTTTTCGCCGTGGAGAGCATTACGTCAAAATGATGTGTTTGCTGTAACTTATACCAATGATAGCATGGATATCTGCGTATAATTTGTTAGTGTAATTTTTTATTTATATACGGCTAACACCACCTTGGTCTGTACCGTCAACTGGTTCCAAGTTTCTTGCTTTGCTTTTGACTTTTTCGTTGTTTCCCGTTTAAAGAACCAAAAACTTGAATTCAATAGAATTGAAGCGTGTAAAAGCAAATAGAAAACACAAAAAAGAATGAGTAAGAATTGCTTTCGAGTACTTGAATCATGTAAATCGGGTGTTTCGGGTGTTCACAGTTCGAGGTGGACTTTAGTATTCAGCCGCACCTTTTGTTTTAAGAAAACCAGGTGGAACAAATGAAACTTGGCCAGGATGTTAAGGGAGGTATCCACTAAAACATGTACAACTAAAAAATATAACCAATACAATTGTTTATAAGTTATTTGTTGCTAAAATTTTTTAAGTCGTTCCACTTAATTTCCTTATCACAAAGTGCATTTGTCACATCTTCTTCTTATTTGGCGCTGTAGCCGCCTAAGCGATTTTGGCTGAGTTCAACAAAGCACGCCAGTCGTTTCTTTTCCGTGCCAACTGGCGCCATTTGGAAATGCCAAGTGAAGCCAAGTTCTTCTTCACCTGGCCTTTCCATCTCAGTGGGAGCCTTCCTCTTCCTCTGCTACCACCAGCGGGTTCCGAGTTGAATACTTTCAGAGCTGGAGCGTCGGTGTCTTTTAATTCGCTGCGCTATGTCCATGTCGTTGTAAAGCTCATACAGCTCATCGTTCGATCGTCTGCGGTACTCGCCGTCGCCAACGCGTAAAGGCCCGTAAATCTTCTGCAAAATCTTTCTCTCGAATACTCCAAGAGCCGCCTCATCGGCTGTTGTCATTGCCCATGCTTCTGCGCCATATACCAGCACGGGCATGATGAGTGACTTATAGAGTGTGGTTTTCGTACGTCCAGAGAGGCCTTTACTCCTGAATTGCCTACTCAGTCCAAAGTAGCACTTGTTGGCAAGTGTGATTCTGCGTTGGATTTCCATGCTGACATTATTATCGGTGCTAATGCTGGTTCCCAAGTAAACGAAATTCTCTCTTCTTCTTTTTAATTGGCGCTGTAACCGCCTAAGCGATTTTGGCCGAGTCCAAAATAGCACGCCAGTCATTTCTCTTCTGTGCTAACTGACGCCAATTGGAAATGCCAAGTGAAGCCAAGGTCTTCTCCACCTGGACTTTCCAACGCAGAGGAGGCCTTCCTCTGCTTCTGTTACCAGCATCGCGGCCCGCGTTGAATATTTTCAGAGCAGGAGCGTTTCTGTCCATTCGAACGACATGGCCAAGCCAGCGGAGCCGCTAAATTTTAATTCGCTGCACTATGTCTATATCGTTGTAAAGCTTATACAGCTCATCGTTAAATCGTCTGCTATATTCGCCATCACCACGCGTAAAGGTCCGTAAATCTTTCGCAGAATCTTTCTCTCGAAAACTCCAAGAACCGCCTCATCAGATGCTTTCATTGTCCGTGCCTCCGCGCCATACACCAGCACAGGCAAGATCTTTGTACGACGAGAGAGGACTTTACTTCTCAATTGCCTACTCAGCCCAAAGTAGTACTTGTTGGCAAGAGTGATTCTCCGTTGGATTTCAAGGCTGACATTATTATTGGTGTTAATGCTGGTTTCCAGATAAACGAAGTCGTCTACTTTTTCAAACTTGTAACTGTCAACAGTGACGTGGGTGCCAAGACGCGTATGCTCTGACTGTTTGTGTGATGACAGGAGATACTTCGTTTTGTCCTCGTTCACCACCAGACCTATTCGCTTTGCGTCTCTATCCAATCCCGAGAAGGCAGAACAGACGTAGCCCTGGTTTTTACCGATAATATCGGTGTCGTCGGCTTACGCCAGCAATTGTACGCTCTTATAAAGTATTGTGCCTGAGCGGTT